TAATTATTGAGAATATAACCCTCTAACTGTTAATTACATAACTACCCAAAGTGTCGGTCTAAGGATTCCGAAGTATCCGCCGAACAAATCAAAGTAATTATTAATTAATAAAAGAGTCTATACTTCTTTCATACTTAAGAGTCAAAAACCATGACAATGATAGAGAGCAATTGCATACGACGGCTCTCGCAATATATCTCTACCTAACGCGGATCAGTTCAAGTCTTAATTAATTATGAGTCCATCCATAATTACCGATTATGAACAATTTATGATTACTATTTATATTCATGTATTGATCGCCATCACATACATATATAAATTTCTTTTGTAATCAAGTGGATACTATCAATTTCATAATGAATCGAAATATAATACATTAAGTTCACCAATTATATAAAGCATAAATATTTCAGAATCGTCAGGAACATATGTCACTATAATCCAAATAGAAATTTGCTATGCCAGGGCATATAAATCCCAACATCTATATATTCAATGTATTTGTTTTATTGTGTTATTATAACTGGAAGATTTTATTTTATCCGGTTACGTATGATGGATTTCTAAAGTTTAGATATGATTTTACTTGTCATGTTTATTTTTTAGTAATATATATATATATATAGCACATAAATCAAGAATTATTATTTTTGAATGACAAGGTACTACCCAAAAAAAAAAGAGAGAAAACAAAAATAATAGGAGAAGAGTCCATCAATATTGAAAACACTCCATGTATTATTTGAAAACATAATGAAAATATTAATCAACAAAAATGGAAAAATATAAATCATAAGAAAAAAGAGGTGATGGGATATATATATAAGTGATGGAATACATAAAAATAAATAAATAAATAAAACCATTTTTATTTTATGAACTAACACCATTCCTAATTTTGATTTACAATGTATATAATTTCAATCTAAGGAAAAATACCAAAATTTTTTCCTTAAAATTATTATATGAACAGGGAATAAACTCTTGCTTATATTTCCTTGAATTTTTTCAAAATGGGTTTGCTAACTATAAAGCTTTATAAAATGCATTTACTTCAAACTGGACAATTAAATAATCATCTAAAAAATAAATATATTAATCTAATTATCATATTAAACATAGTTATCCGTTATAAAATGATTAAGAGCTAAAACATATCGGTCAAAGAGATACTAATAACCAAACCAAAAACCGTTTCCCAATTTCAACAAACGGTTTCTAACTAGTAAGTATTTTTATTAGGCCTTACATTGAAACAAGAGGACTTAGTATTTGAAACACTTACATCAAATACATAATGTTGCATTGAGCAAACCATTAATTAAACTTCGAGCATTTTAAAACACAAAAAAAAAAAATTCATAAAAGAATCAAAACCTCTTTTTCAAAATTCTAAACATACTCAACTTTTCTTTGTTAAAAAATTGAATTAGTTGACATGTATTATGTAAATGAAAAGGATCCATACAATATGACAAACCCACAAACTCAAATCAAATACAACAAAGGTTAAAACACTATAGTCATTCATATCGACCAACAATATTTAAAATTCACAAAAATAATGCAACGAAACATTTCACACACCTAAAAATATTTCAAATAGAAGGAAAGAGCCAAGATAAAAGAAATACATGTGTGGCAAATAGAAAAAAAGAGCCAAGATAAAGATATTCATGATAATTATTGAACATTAGAGTCACATAGATAAAAGTAATTGATTATAATCAATCAATAAAATATTTAATAAATGTGAATAACGTAATTCATATATGATTGGATTAATTTATATATATGATTTGTAGAGTGAATTGATTCCTTTATGAAATCTTTTCATTTTTATTTTTAATTTTTTTAAAAAATAAAAAATTGAGTTTTATATAAAGTTTATTTGTTTTATAAAATGTTTATTTCATCACGTGCATCGCACGTGAATTTTCCTAGTGTGTGTGTGTGTATATATATATATATATATATATATAAAGTATTTTTCTTTTTTCCTTAGACTAAATTTCTGGAAGGTTTGAAAAAATATATATAATTCCATTAGTTTGAAAAAATATATAAAATTATAAAAATTAGACAACAAACACTCATTCACATTAAAAAATAATTTTTTTATTCTTTTTTATTTTTTGGCATCCTTAAAAATCCTCTCCTTCAAGGTGAGTCTCTCTTATAATTTTGGAACAATAATGTTGTGATTCAAATTCTTAATTCCTTAATTCATAATAATTTAAAAAATCAACTTTCAAATTACCATATTGATAACAAAATAATCAATTAGGGGCTTACGACCTCCGCTGTCATACTCAGCAATTGACCCGGCCCGGGGTGGAAAGACAGCTCATCTTGAATCCTTGGGGATTAGTCGGGGCGAAGCCTCGGATACCCCGGGTCATCCAAAAAAAAAAAAAACCAATGACATTGGTAATTCTTGTTTAATTTAATGAGTAAACTTTGTTTTATATTTAAAAATATATAAAGTAAAAAATTTATATTAGATGCACAACATAATGTAGAATAAAATAACATAAATAAAAAGTAAATAAATTCTCTATATTCTATAAGGAAAATTAGCTCTGTTGGCAATTTTCATTTATTTATTAGTTGATCCAAACAATGAGAAAAAAATAAATATAAAAGTAATTATACAAATGGTCTCTCTTTCGCTTTGGTGTACAAGAGTGAAGACAGTTTATTTTGCTCTGTTTTTGGCTACTCCCTTTAATGTACAATTCACTTGATTTTCCTATTTCTGCAGCTTTATATATGAATCAACGAGTGTATCTTCAAATCTGATGGAGAAAATGTTGAAGGTAAATTCTTCTCTAAACAATTAAAATTTTTTGTCTTACATTTATTTATTATCATTATCAGGTTTTATTATATTTTATTTTTCCCTTGGGTGTGTGTTTGTTTGTGAATATATTGCTTTGTTTCAATCCGTCATATTTATATCTCTGTGTTTTGCTGGATTGAATTACTCACACACATCCTCACTAAGGATTGAACCATCAACCTCCCATTTGGGAGGCCATACCATTCAAGCCAAGGCTTTCAGGGTATTTATTTATATATTTTTTGTATTTCATTTTGGTTCTAAATTCATTCATTATATTGTTGATCATCAATATGTTTGAACAAATTAAATGCTATTAGGACAATGGAACATGCAGATCCAATCACAAACAATAAGAAGTGCACATAACTACAAGATTTAAGGTGGTTCGACTGTGTCAAGTAAAGTTGCAGGAAGAAAAAAAAAAAATGATACTGATTTCTGTCTTCAATATACTCTCTGCATCTTCAAGTCTCAAGTTCAATTTCCCTTAGTTGTGAGCAATTCCTTGAGACCATGACTGCGGAACCCAATCCGTGTGAGTGGGGGGTCACCTTGCACGGATCCCGTGGTTAGTCGGGGCGAAGTCCCGGACAACCCGGTTATCCGAAAATATATATATATACTCTCTACATCAGAAATTAACTCCATCCTTACCATTCTCTGTTTCGTTAGCAACCTGTCTTCCACGGCCAACCACACCATGAAGGAATGGTTTAGAATCGCTTTACCAAACCAAATAAGATTCAAACGAAACAACCTTTTTATTCTTAGGTATGATCCTATCCCTGGATGACTTTAAGGAAAAAGCACCATTAGTGGGAATCCAAACAAGCTGATCAAAAGAACTAGTGTTGGAAAATGTTGGCAAATTACTAGCCGAAGTGTCAAAACCACTAATATTTTTTTTTCTTGGTAAGTTCAAAACCACTATTTGAAGCCAATACCATAAAGAAATATGCTCACCATTCCCAATTTTGTACATAAAGTCCATTCTAAAATAGTTTCTAAGGTTCAACAACATCCTCCATGTCCATGTAGAATCTCGAGGAAGTGTTTATAGCCCGACAGTTCTTCCTTTTGCCCTGAAGGACCCACCTCCGCAGTTTTTTCTTTATAAGTAGTTTTTGTAAAAGGAGAAAGCCTTACGCTTTGCTTGATGACTTATTTTGGAAGGATGAAGACAGAAGACAAATACATTTGAATAGAAAATAGGACAGCATTAAGTAGTTGTAATCTGCCAGCAAATGAGAGATACCTGATGCACCAAAACTTATCTCTAGAGGTAAAATTTTCCACTAACTCAAAACAATAATCAGACTCGAACTTTGTAAACAGCAATGGAACCCCAAGATACCTAACTGGAAGCACCCCATCCTGAAAGTTTGTGATTTACATGCCTTCAATGTCTCATTCTATTTATTATATTTTTTTGAATTTGCTTGTTGTTTATAAATTGTTATCGATTGTCAATCTTCAATATGTTTTAAAAAAGTATTTGAAGATATTTGTTTTCATTTATGGTGCTTTAATGTCATCATCAAGGTAATTTGCTCTTTATTTACTATGATTAGCTTGATAAATGGGACTATTATATGGAGGACTGGATTAGTGAATTGCCAGATGAAATTCTTGGAACTATATTGTCCCTCTTGACAATTAAAGAAGCAGCAAGAACAAGTGTCCTTTCGCACAGGTGGGAAAATCTTTGGAAATTTTTCACTGGCAGTCTGGACTTCGTTATTCCAAAGAAATCAGTGAGAGTATCAAGTATAATTGGAAGGCCTGAGTACATAAATTGGGTGAACCAAGTTTTGAATTCACATTGTGGGCAAACTATTGATGAACTCAAAATTTGTTTCGATTTGGATAGCTATGATGGACGTTTTATTGATAGATGGATAAACTTTGCAATAGAGAAGAGAGTTCGAATGCTTGAGTTGGACTTGTCAAGAGGGTACTTGTATTCTAAGTTAGGTTATACTTACGCTTTTCCGTTTTGGTTGCTAATCACTTGCTTGCTGAGGTATCTATCCGGGGACATTATTGTGATATTTTAGTTTCTGAATATAAAAAACCTATATCCTATCTCTCTCAACTAGAAAAGCTTATACTGGAGCTGGATTGTCAAGTTAGTACGCTTCACTTTTTTCTGTATTTGTTTATTCTCTTTTAATTTTTGTTATTAGTGGTTGCTAATCACTGAATTTTTGTTCTTACTGTTTAGAATACTAAGACACATATGCAAAGGGGGATTTTTTTCCTAAATTTAGTAATCTCAAGGAATTGGAAATAAAAGTTTGGGTTTTCAATGACCAATGCATCCTTTTCCTCAATTCTTTGATAAATGGGTCTCCTTGCTTGTATAGATTTTTGTTGGAGGTGAGTTTCCGCATCTTAAACAGCTTAAATCCTTGTTTATTTTGATGAGTTATGAAAATGGCACTTTGGTGAAACTTATTTGTCATATGCATCCACTCTAGCTTCCATTAATTTATAGTAGATTCAGTGGTGCTAGTTTATTATCTTATCACATACAAATTATTTTATGATGAGGAAAAAATTTGGTTGCATTGTTCATATATTTTTCCTTTCATAGTTGTTCAGGTTTTGCTGAAATTGTTTATTTGTCATCACGAGGTTTGTTGACCAATTTTTGATGGATGATGGCATAAATTTATGGTATGGTCTTAAATATTGTCATAAATTTAAATTTAAGCACATTAGTTTCTTGTCCATACTTAAATTTAGTGCATGACTTTAATCCAACCTCGATAACAATCTAAAAATCAAATTCAATAAACTATAAGGTAAAGTGCAATAAACTCCCCTCAATTATACTCAAATGAGCACAAAAACTCTTGAATTTCTAAAATAGCAGAAGACCCAAAACTATGTTGTTTGGTTGCAGTTTACCCAATCTGGTACCGTTGCATGTCACGTGATGGATTATTTCTCATTAAATGACCAGAAAGCCCTTATAAGAATTAAAAGAGTACAACGCCCTTTTGTCTATATATATATATATATAAACCAATTACAGTATCATCATCACCATGAGTGAACCCCTCTATCGGCCCTCTCCGTCTCTCTCCACTGTTTTTTTTTTTTTTCAGAATATCTTTATATATACACGAACAAAAAATGTTTGTGGTGTTTCCAGGTTCAAACGGTATTGAAGAAACCATAAATCAGGATAGCCACACTTGAGATAAATGTAGCGTCCCTCTCCACTTCTGTTTATATATTCATAAACTCAACCCCTCTCTCCTCTTTCTTTCTCTACCTCCGTCTATATGCTAGTGTGCTTGTGCAATTCCGGCAAGGACGATGGAAGATCCAGGAGATAAGAATGCGATGCTTGGCCACGATCTGGAATGACGACGCTATTCCGGCGAAGGTGCTGATGCTACAACGAGGTTGGTGGTTTGTTGTGTCAGTGGTGAGATGGGTTGGAAATTTAAGGTGTGCGATTGGGAACTAATTGTGGTTGGTGGTTGGATACGATGACTCTGGTGAATGGTGTGAAGCCTAGTGGGGTTCAGATGGGAGTACTGGTTTAGTGTTGGAGATTATGGTATCGGTAATTGGAAGTTTTGTTGGAGTTGCGGCCGGTTTGTGATTCTGAATTAGGGCTTGAGCAAAGTAGTTTGCAGTTGACGGCATTGGATTTAGCAACAATTGCAGTGGACCAAATTGGAATCCAAATCAGAAACCAAACTGGAATCGAAATTGACGCACATTAATCTGTTTGAAAGGGAAAAATATCTTTTCGAAGGTATCAGATCTTTGATCCAAGTGGGGTGGATGGTCAAGAAGATGATAAGAGAGGGACTTTTAAGAAGATGATGAAGAAAGAAGAGGCATCGAAGATTGTGTTTGTTAGAAAGTGGCTAAACTTCATTGATGACGTGGCTAAATATAGTTAGTTGCATGATGTATATGCAAGTGTGTATCACATGGGTTCACTCTTACATAGTCAAAGAAGCTGACATAGTGTAAAGGAAGGTGAAAGAAAAGAATTAAATGGAATAAAGAAATGAAGAAAGAAGTGGTGTGTATATGTGGTGTTCTAATCGTAGCAAATGGAGAAAACAAAAAGAAAGAGAAGTAAAAGGAGATAAAGAAAATCAAAGGTGGAATGTGATGACATGCTAAAAAAGCAATAGCAAAAGACAGAAGGAAATAAAGGTTTGAAAAAGGTTGGTCCATGATTGCTGCAAGGAGAAGAACATTTGAAGGAGATTAGGCACCACATTTGTTAACAGAAGGCAGCTAGGTTCCTCTATAAATAGAAGAGCGATGCGCAGAAGGAAGATAGAGAGAAAATGTAAGGGGTTAGTGAGTGTTGTGAGGAAAGGAAAAAATATATGTAATTCCCGAGTGTATATGTAACGACCCAAACCCGCGGATCCAAATCGCTATATAGGTCATAACCCGATCCGAGCACTCTCGAGAGCAAAATGGTCATTATGCACCTTACTAAGTGTTAGGTGTCATAATGAAGTCACACTAGTTATTTCTAACCACTTTGGTTCATGAAAAGGTGGAAATCCCAACTTTGGATTCACATTGGACCCCTAGGGTAAAACAGTCACTATGAGTCATAAATACGAAATAAGACTGGTACTAATGGAAAGAGGGTTCAAAATCCTTCAATTTGGACTCAAGAATGACCTAATTCGGATTAGAAATAACGAAGAAATGGTTAGTCAAAGTTTGGTCATCAACCAGGGTATTTGTGCATTCTGTCGACCGATCGTAAATGTGTGCGATTGATCGTAAATTCTATACTTACAAAAAATTTCTGACAACCCTGAATTTGGGTCTCTGTATATTTACTGTCAATCGTAAGTCCCATACTTAGAATTTTTTTCAACAATCCTCAAAATTGGCCCTCTATCGATCGATCGTAAATCCTCATAAATTTTCTTTTCTTCCCGAAAATGCTACGGTTTGGTTCCTATACCCCCATTTTGATAAAATGATACATCCCTACATCTCAAAATCTATCCCAAAGCACGCATAAGACATAGATACATAGCCAAAATGATTTACAAGCATATAACAAAACAAAAAGACATAAATGCCACTAGATATGAATTTCATTCCCAACCATTCCATTTCATTCATTTGATACAAAAGAACAATTTAACATAGTAATTACATGCCCAAAAGAATAAGATTACAAGTTTAGGCCGTTAATACATCAAATACAATGTTTACAAAAGAATAGTTGGAACTAAGTATTGGTTACAAAAGTTTATAAAAAAAAAAATACATTCATCAACCCTATCTACATTTGTGAGGGTCTTTTATCAACCATGTCTTTGCCGTGACTTGAAAAATGGTAATAATGGGGTGAGCCCTTGTATTCTCAAATACAAATCATACACACACCGAACTCGTTAATCCAGCCCGGTACGAGGCGACTCCCTGCTACCACGAGAGAAGGATTGGACGTCTATCCTTGACCTATGGCGACTCCTTAACGTCATTTGGGATTAGGGCCTAGGCAACTCAACCACGAATGAGGTATTTACCCCACTTTCCCTCTAGATTGCATTAACCCCACGAACACAAGACAATTCTTTGTCTTTCAGTTTTCGCAAACTTTTCTTTTAAAAACTTTTAGAAAACAAGTTTTTAATTTTCATCCCTTTCCATGCTAATGCCATAATGTATATGTCATATGCCTATGTCTCATAGTCAATTTAGTCACAATCTCTATAATGAGGTACCTGATAACATATATAGCAATTATCACAATCATGGCATGTAAAGGCTTATAAATTTCATCATGTAACCATGTAAGCATATAAAGGCACATTCAATCACATAGGCGTGCAAATTTACACTTGTTGACTAACTTTGATAAAAAAAATCCACTCTTTAAAGTTATATCACATACTCATCATGCATAGAACATTATTATATACAAATACTTTAGCATGCTCTAACAACAATATACTCACAAAAAATCAAAGGATGTGAGGCTTAGAAATCCCTACCTCAAAGATGCTAGCCAAACAAGACCTTAGCACCCCTAATTTCGAATTTTCTCTAAACTCTAACAATGGTGGTTAAAAAAATTAAATAAATAATAAAGCCTTTGTTAAGTAGAATGAAACTCCCTTCATGATCTTCATTAAAATCTCACTCTAACCTCTCCAAAATTAAGCTTTTAGCATGAAAGCATATAATGTGTATAGATATAAAGAGTGAAAGAATAATGATAGAGAGAGGAGAAGGGTTAGCCGAAATGGGGGAGAGGGGAGGAGGTGGCTTGTCTTGCGTTTTGTCAAGTGGTCCCAATGGTGCCTCTTGTCATCATTTGGGTGATTCCCACTTTAGGCTAAGTTACCTTATTGTCCTCTCACTAATAAGCTATGTACATTTATGTCCCATAGAATGTCTCCTGTATAGATGTATGCATATGTATATATGTGTGAAATGTCAAGAACGCCCCTCATAGAAAATGACAAAACCTGGAGAAGTTCCAGAACCTGAAAATCGTCCCGACTTCCAAAAAATTCTAAAAATAATCCCGTCACTTCTAGTTGACTTTAAATAACTAAAAATGCATTTCTAAAACTCTTGGCTTGAGTAAATGACTTAATTGGCCATCGGGACCGTGTGGCACGCAAAACGAGGCATGAAAATAAATAATATAAAAATTCAAAAAAAATCCGGGACTTTATAGTATAGATGTAGCCTCAAAAAAGATAAGTGAGTGAGTGGGGTTTTGATACCTGATTGTATATTTTTTTCCTTAATTCATAATAGTGAAATCTCTCTCTTCATGGTCGTAGCCCTAGAGTTAGGTGAACCATGTAAACTATTGTTTTGTGCGTGGATGTGTATGATTGTTATCTTCATATATGTTTATGTCGATGTGATGTGATGATGCTTCCGCTGAGTGTGATGAATGAGGGATTTAACTCTTAACAATATACAACAGTTGAGTGGGTTGGAGGGAGTTATTTTTCCTAATTGTGTTTCCGGAAGATGAGAATGTATATAGTAGGGTATGGAGTTGTCAGAAAAGGCGTGCAATTGCCATGGTGTCTGTTGATGCTGAATTTTTTTTTTTCCTTGACGTTGAGAAATTGATGAATGGTGGAGGTGATAATTCTCAGTCTCATTGGTTATTGTGATAAGGTTGCATAGGTGTCAAAATTTTAGTGGCTATTCTTGTTACACTGGTCCCACGTTATTTAACCCATTTTATACCAATACCTTTATATTAAATGGCAACCTTTTATGTAAGGGGTAAACATGTCTTTACCAATTTTTGGTGATGACAGTGAACCGAAATAACGTTCTCTATCCTAAAACCTAACAAATCTTATAGTTGTAGGGGTTATATGTAGTTGAGGGGGGTTTATTGCACTTTACTCTAAACTATATAATCAAGTAAAATCATAAAAATAAAAAAATAAAAAATAAAAAAAAAAAAAGTTCCGGGTTTTAACGTACTCAAACCGAGAGCCGTGAGCCAAGAGCTATATTTATATATAAGAACAGGGTACAAAGAAAGGAAATCAAATTAAAGACAGCAAGAAATATGCCAAAATTTACGTGATCCCATAATTATAGGGATCTTATCCATGTAACACCTAATAAAAGACTAAAAACAGCTAATAAAAATAATAATAATAATACAGATATTTCAACAAATCCAATAGCACATGTCCATAATACCCATTAACACAAACCAAAAAAAATCATATTTATTACACGGTCATCCTCATATCAAAAGCCACTCAATAAAACTGACTGACTAGCTAATTGAAACAAACCAATCACTAGAATAGAGCTCAAGTCCTTCACATGAGTCTCCAAATAATTAATATCTCATTCAGTATCTTAACTTGCCTCATATAATTACTTATCAAAAAAAAAAAAAACTTGCCTCGTATAATTAAAAACTCATTAATTATTATATTATATTTCAATATCCAAGCAACTTCTCCATATAACCGTCATCTCAATTACATACCATTAACTAGCTAACCTTTTTTTATTTGATGATTTCCTCTTTCCTTGTGACAGGTTACATTCAGAGGTCCTGCACCTTCATGGGCAAAGGTACTAGAAGCTGCTTTTAGATTCTGCTAGACTTAAAAAGTTTTATATTGTCAATCATCTTCTTGTTTGTAAGCAAGCATTGATTTGAGTATGTTGTTTGCGTGGCAGTTTAATTGGGAAGGGGAGATAATGCGCAGCCAGGTGAGACAGGTTACAGAATCTGCCCATCAATGCCTCAAGGTGGTGGAATTTACACGTTGGGTTCGCCTCGAAGCTGATGTTGAGCTTGCTATGTGACTACTTGAGAGTGTTGTTTCACTTGAAAAGATGATTATTGATGCTCGCAATCTAAGTTTTATGGGAAGTTTGGGTCTTAGTTTTATGGAAGATTGGGATTTTCAAGAGCTGGAGACAACAAATGGGAAGGCAGCCGCTAGAGAGCAGGCAGCTGGAAGCAAAATTACTTCCGCATGCTGAATTAGTTATACTTTGATAATAAATTGTGAAAAATTATATATTTCTGTCGAGTCCAAGTGTTGTGATAGGCACGGCACCTGGCGGGACACACTACTTTTATGGGCCCCACCAAGGGACTGTTGGGGCTCATACTGGACCCGTAATTTGTTATCATTAAACACTTGCAGAGCCTTCTGCTTAAATAAACACTTGCAGAGCCTTGTGTAATTATCAGAATGATTCGGGATTGTGATAAATATTTTGTCAAATCAATAAATATTTTGATAAATTGAAGTTTTAAGTTCATCCTTTTCAAATTAAATTTACAACAACTCATTCGGGATTGTGATAAATATTTTGTCAAATCAATAAATATTTTGATAAATAGAAGCTTTAAGTTCATCCTTTTCAAATTAAATTTACAACAACTCTTATGTTCAAGGTCACTCTTATACCCTCACAACACTCTTTATGAATCCATACTTTTACAAAACACTTTTTAAGGCTCATAGGTCATATTTTCAATTCAAAGTTTTCAAGAACTCACAAGTTATCCTTTTCAAATCAGTTTTCTTTCCACAAATATTGAGGGGCCTGCTTAGTTTGTAATTCTTAAAACAGTTCTTAAGAACTCAAAAAATATAAAACTGTTCTCAAAGAATAATTTTTTTTTGTAGTTATCTGAAAACAAGTATTTTTATAATTGAATTTTTAGAAAAATGAACGAAGCAGATTTTTTTGTACAATTTTTTGAGAAAAAAAATATTATTTGGATAGTTACAAACTTAGTACGCATTGTCTTTAAAACATGCTTTTGTTTTTTTTTTTTTTTTTGAATCACTTCTAAGGTACATATGCCAACTAAGGTCTGGATTGTATCACTAATTGCTATGGTGCGACAATATTAAACCATGCATCCGTTGATGCAATTTTCTGTATCTTATAAAACACTCTAGTGTGTCTAGAAAGTTGGACCTTCTGTGCAATTTTTGGATAATTTCTAGAATGCTTGTGGAACCCGTTCTACTATTTTTAGAACAAGTTTATTAAGTATTCCATTAGATTTCAAGTTGGCCATAATGGTGGTCCAATTGGTTGTACTTTTCCTGATTTTATGTTTAAAATTTTTTTGTGAGCACACATTATAATACGTGAGTGTTATTAGCTTTTTACATTTCATCTTGATTTATCAAGAGTAACATGATTTTTCATTCCATTTTCAAATTTATTATTGTAAGGAAGGATATTTCATCACTACGAATGGAGCAAAGTGCTCGTGGAGCATTCATGTTCTTCAACAACTCATTTACAACATTGTAGGAGTAAGATTGAAATATGTAGTAACTTGATGTGGAGTCATAGGATGTAGACTGAATTGATGGTGAGAAATAATTTTGTAATTGGCAATATTTGAGGTAAAAAAACAAGTCCAATCAATTTGTAAATTTTTTTTTACTTTGAATTTCGAGTTCGGAATCAAAATTGAAGTATTGGGGAACATGTTAAATATACTTCTATTCGATGAGAACACATACCAGACAAAATTTATTTTTTTCTCTTATTTGTGAGGTTTAGGGTTAGGCACTTAAAAAGGTTTTCAAAAAGTTTCTTTATAAAAGTGTATTGCCAACACAGAACCGGTCATGCTATAACGCAACTGGTTGCGATGCTTGTTTTTGAAGTTTTTATTTGAAGTACCACACACCTCCGCCTTAGCCTAACCGGTTGCACTAGGTTACCCTTTTTATCAGATTTTTGTGACACAATTGTGCACAAAGTAAACTTATTTTCTAAGTTATTTTAGGTCTTCAAAAATCTATATAAAACATTTTCTCACCTAGCATTTTCTACAGCTTTTGAATACAATTTATTCAACTTTTAGAGAGCCAAGTTGTGAGAATTCTTGTGAGTATTTATTTTTCATATTGAGAGCATACATACTATGCATGAGAGTGATTTAGGATGTTGGTCACTTTTTGATCGGAGTTTGAATCATTGAAAATCCATTGATACTGTTTAGAAAAAGCAAAACTTCTATTTTTACACATCAAATTTAGACTTGAAGAAAATGAGGGAGTGATCACACTTCAAATGGTCAATTTAAAGTATTCAAGAAATGCAATCCTTCTACCAAAGTCAAAGGAGTAAGTATGAGGTCGAGAGTTATTGAACGAAGGAATCACAAAGCCAAAATGGTCAACAATTGGTTCTTGGTAGAGTGAGAGAGTGGGAGCCTAAGTTGAAAGTCCATTATCTCATTTATTATTATTCTTATTTTTTTCAAATTAGGGAGGGCATACAAGACAGTATTTGCATGCGTCTCATTATGCATGGTAGTTCTTTCTCACTTACTTTACTATTGTCGATTTTCTTATATTATTCAATCAAATAATTTCTTATTGTTGTTGTGATGATAATATTGATTTATTACATTATTCTTATATTGGATTATATTTCTTTTCACTGGAAAGGTGTAATCTTAAATTGTTGAATTATAATATTATTGTCTTGTATGCATATTTGTATTGTCTAATATTATTAGAATTATCAATAAAATTTGATGGGTTATTCTTAGCCTTTTATAATTTTCTTGCATATTCCCAAACAATCTAAAGTCAAAAGTGTTCTTATAAAATATAGTACATATTTATGTATCTATTGTTATAATAACACGCTCACCATGTATGGTGTATTGGTTAGTTATATGGAGAGCTGAATTTCTTGCACTGTTCTAACTATTAATGAGACTTGTTTGGCTTGGATTTTATATACCATATTTGTCATGCCAAGTATTTGTACTAATTTGTGTGTATAACATGGAGTGTACACGGTTTGGATTGAACCGATTTGAAAATATTTTGGAATTAACTCCATAAAAATTAAAATCGAACTGAATTGCGAAACCAATGGAATCGAACCAAATCAAACTATGAGAAAATGGTTTGGTTCGGTCGGTTCTAGGCTATTTATAATTAAATCTAATATATAAATGAATATATTTTCCATTATAATATATTTTATTATTATTTATTATGATACATAGTTGATTGGTTAAAAAGCTAATTTTATTATTCTATTATTTATATAATACCAAATATATAAATATATATATAATTTATAAAACGGTTCAGTTCGGTTTGATCTTCTAGAACCTCAAGTGGTAACCAAACCATTTATAAACGGTTATATATTTTGCAACTAGAACCGATTTAAAACCTAACCTATTGGTCCGATTTGGTTCAATTCGATTTATCGGTTCAACCGATTTTTGATTCAATTGATTTTTTGTGCACCTCTATACACACCACTCATACATTTATTTTGTTCATTTGAAAATTCCAACCTTCATCGTCCATCTTGAGAGATAGATGAGATATCATTTAGCCACAAGGTTTCTTGATTTTCCAAAATAATATACATGCCCCTGAAAACTACTTTCCGAAAAAAATATAAACCTAAACACCTCATTATTGCCACGTAGATTATGATATAATCCCAAAATTATTATCGAGACGGCTTCATATTTAATCACGCGTGTCACGGCACTGTGAGAAGTCTAAGAAAAGCTTCATCTTAGATGAGATATCATTTAGCCACAAGGTTTCTTGATTTTCCAAAATAATATACATGCCCCTGAAAACTACTTTCCGAAAAAAATATAAACCTAAACACCTCATTATTGCCACGTAGATTATGATATAATCCCAAAATTATTATCGAGACGGCTTCATATTTAATCACGCGTGTCACGGCACTGTGAGAAGTCTAAGAAAAGCTTCATCTTGTGTCCGAAATGGGACGCATTTACACGTGGAAAAGACCATCATTGATACAAAGTATTCACATCAGAAGGTGGTATCAATCTCGATTCACTCCGATCAACCCTAATTTGAAAAAATGTGGGACCATCATTTTCTCCACATTCATTTATTGTGAAACCGACTTGGAAGCCAAGAAACGAATGAATCAAAAGAATGCAGATACGGATTTGAAGACAGCGTGATCGAATCGTATGTGTGTATGCATATGCAAATGTCGATTCTAATGAGCAGTGGTGTTCGGGCTATTATCGGAAGTCGAAGGAGTTCTTTGCCATTGATTTACTCGCGTTTCTCATCGTCACCGTTAACTTCATCATCACCTGCGTCGGGGACTGTAGCTTCCCGTGCCGCCGCTGATGTGGCCGGAGAAGATCTGCTGTTGGAGGAGGAACCGCCTTCCGCCGCCACCGTCGCGGCGAAGGCTGCTGTACCATCTCTACTTCAGCCTCGAGTCGTCGTTTATGATGGGGTCTGCCATCTGTGCCACGAAGGTGATTCTCATATACTCTCTCTCTATATATACACATGTATATCAAAATGCTCGTTTGTATAATTCTGAAAGCAAATGGCGATTAGCTTTACCATGAGTTTTTAATTATTGTGCCGATTGAAAATTTCATTGTTGTTACTTGTGCTTTTTTGCTTTTGTTTGTCAATGACGCTAAGAACCGACATATAACTTTCTATATATTTTGTATATGAATCATTTGATGATTATCTGATTAACTTCTGCTAGGTATTGTTGCTACTGGTTTTACTTTTTGGAGAATTTGCGAGAAAAAACCATAGTTGATTTAAGCTAATTTTGGTGTTCATTCAATTTATTTCGAAATCCCTAGGATTTGATCCTTTGTTTAATCTATGGAAATGGAATAAGCTCAAGAAATGTGCTCAAGGATGTCCGTTACTGGCATTGTAATATTACGAAATTATACTAATGAAGAATTGCACTACATTTATCACAAAAGAGTGTTTGATGCATCTTATTTTATAGGAATAGAAGGTTTTTATTCGATCCTGAATTCTTTGTTCCAACCCTAGAGCTTTTTAGTGTTCATAATCAAATGCTGTTAGGTTTCTTTCTTCCTCCAGATAATCCAGAATAAACCCTGTTTACTCAGACTAGTTTTTCTGTGCATTTCACATCCTTGTTATGCATCCATGAATGCGTTGCCAACACAAAATAAACTGATGCTAAATTGTTTTTTCACTAAATTGTTTTGCAGGGGTGAAGTGGGTGATAAAAGCAGACAAGCACAGGAAGATCAAATTCTGTTGCCTTCAGTCTAAGGCTGCTGAACCTTACATGAGACTTTGTGGTGTCGACCGAGAGGATGTTCTCCGCCGCTTCCTATTTATTGAAGGCCTAGGTTCATACCACCTAGGTTCCACTGGTTAGGACCCTTTCTTCTCTCTCAGAATATATGTAAGTCCATGTATAATTTTATAATATTATTGTGTATGGTTTGTCTTATACGTGTTGTGTGCATATATTTTTTAACAAGGAAATAAAGTGACATGTGTTTTGAATTCCTTTCAAATTACTTATAAAAAAAAAAACTTTCAAATTAGTTTGAGCTGTAATTGATGGGAGAACATTTGCCCTCCTTGTTTCACCTTTGGCAACATCATTTGTTTTACTCTTGCTGTAATCAAAATACAATCAGGCTGAATAATTTGATCTTGAAACCGTTTTAATTGCAATACTAGGTCTCTTGAAATCAAGCTACTTGTGGAGGTCAAATATATTAGTGAAAAATCTAGTTTGGGAATTATTTATAATTTTGTATGTGGCGCGGTCTACTCTCATTAGCAATATGCTGATTACTAAAACCATATCAGTAGTTGATAATTCTACAAACTAGGAAATAATAAGTTGATAATTCTACAATTGATATGCTCTGGTACCAATTGAGAAAATTTTGGACCCCGAGACTCTCATACATTACAGTACGCTATGCCTAATTGGAAGGGGGTGAATAGATCTTTTGAACACTTGGATAATTTTTATCTAATATCAGTTTTAACAATCAATTGAAGTTGAATTATCAATCAATAAGCCTATAAAAATAGGTAAAGTGTAAAAATGTAAAGCATAAAACATCCCCACACATGAACACCAATTTTAACGTGGAAAACCCAACTGAAAAAAAAATCATTGGATCTAGTCCAGGAAAATCAAATCCACTATGAAAATAAAAATAAAAATTGTTCTAGGTTAACAGTTCCCAAACCCTAGAATCTGTAGTTACTTTTTGACACAGACTGATTCATCAAACTCAGTCTTAGAGTCACTAGGCACACAGTTTACTCTGTTGACATATTCGATTCTCTAATCCGTGATTTGATCTCCAATGACTAGTCGTCCAGTCCTTTGATGTGTAGGTGATCTGGTTATCTTTAAGTAATCAATGAAGCTCTTTGCTTTAGAACTTAATCACACAATATAACGGGATATTCAATGAAGAACCTCAGTTGTGATTGAAAAATAAAGCTCCCAATCTCTTGCAATTGTGTAGTTGTGTCTCTTATTATTTATTTATTGATGTTTATAGAACTCTAAGATACCTTTTTATAGTGTTGGAGTGATTAGAATTTGATTAGGAATGCTTTGAAAAGTTTAGAAACCTCTTCGGACTTGGAGACATGTCTTTTATCGAATATGGGCTTCTATGTGATTGATTGATGCATCGCTCGCCACCTTCTGGGTTTTCTCGATTGATCGAGCTTTCAGTCGAGCTATTTTGGTGTAATTTTGATTGATTGACAATCGATCGAGCTTTTCTGCTGAACTTGACAGCACATAACCTGGCTTCTGATCCTTCGTTGAGGGGTCAAACGGACTGGAATTTAGGTGTGACACCCCCGGATTTCCGAATGCGGGTTGGCCATGCCCACACCCGAATACCCGGGGATATAAAAAACAAATCGGTAATAAACGAACACAGAATACAAAAAGAATAAATAAATATGCTTAAATGGGAACTGGAACGATAATCCATTATAAAAATCTCAGGATAAATTTTCATTGATTAATAAATCCTTTTGATACAATTAATCCTCCAAAATAATACAACTTGGGAATCCATACTATGAAGACCCTTATAAAAACCAGACTGAATAAGTAACTGAAATAATGTTTACATTTGAAAGCTGAAACATAAACAAAACTCCTAAATAGAATCGAAAGAATGAAGTAGACTGATCCCTGCTCAGTACGAACAACCTCTACTCCTGACGATCACCTGAAAAATATGGTGGGTCAAGCCCACAAACAAGTTCTACTCTACTACGGTCCAAGCAGAGATCCGATACACGTATACATCCTAGTCAATCCAACAATAACTAGTAGTTCGTATATATATATATATATATATATATATATATATATATAAATACACACTAAAGGAACCTCACTAGACTATAAGTTGTCTCAACCTGAATAGTAGGCAACATGCAAAACGCACATATAGTGGGCATGAGTACCTAGACTACCGGGGCACACAACTACACTATATCTAGCTAGACATCTCTGGCAATATATGCACTCTAACCACTGATCCTGAGGCTCAAGCTCATATCATGGTACATATCTATATATATCTATATATATATATATCATCCATCCTATCTAATATAAAGTAATCCACTATGTATCATCCAACTTGTTCAGTTTACCTGACACGAATATAAGTAGGATTTAACATTTTAGTTAATCCATTTCCTTATACAAAATAGGTAGGACTTAACTGATAAGTTAATCCGTCCCTAGAATGCCACCATCCCATACTGGTGTACTACATCCACACAATCCAATAATTGATGTAACAAATAAAATAATGCATTAATTAATCCAAAAATTAACATAATAATAGAATATCATGCTATCACAAAATAGGAATAACTTATAAATTTCTTTAAGCTTCCTACATCATGCATCCTACACAAACTGAATCTTAAACATGCTGATATTTATTTTACAGTCAAGTAAGCATTCTCCAATTTCAATTTATGCTGAACATTTAATCCCAATTGCTAGAACAATCTAAAAGATTAAATCCATTCATTTGTTTAAAACATTCAAATAGCATGCATCGTTATGATCAAGTCTATTTAAAATTTACTTAAACTCATACCTAGTCCTTATTTAATGTTCAGGACCCTTCAAAATCAATTAAGATCAATTTAACATTTTTTACGAAAATTTCCCAGGTAAGGCTCGAGCTTTTATCCTAATGGCTCGAGCTTTCTATCCATGGCTCGAACTTTACATCAATAGCTCGAGCTTTGCATCCAAGGCTCGATTTTTTCACCTATGGCTCAAGCTTTACTTCCAAGGCTCGAGCACTGTAACAACGCATCAGCCCAAAAATTCTACTGTGTATTCATTCTTCATTGTTAAGGATTCTAAGGCATATTACTAAGTCCCATCAATACACAAGTATGAAATTACATCATTATAACATGTAGAAATTCACAAAGAAATCAAATCTAACTCTTGAATTTATCAATTCACACAACAAGAACAACCATGAAAAATAATTTATAAAACCTATGTTCTAAACCAATTCCAAGCATGCAAAATTATTCATTTTAATGTTTAAGCATCCTGGAATTTCCTAGGCATGTGTAGAAACACAAATCAAAGGGAAAGAGATAGAAGAAGAACTTACCTTAAACTTTCGGATCGAAAGTTAAACTTCTTTTTCTTTGATCTTCTTCTCTAAAGGTTCTCCTCATCCTTCCTTCCTCTTCCTCCTTCTCTCTCTAACTTTCTCTCTCTAAAGTATATTACGTGATATATTTCTATCCCCCTTTTACAAATCTATAGTTATATATTTATAGGCTAAATAATAACCCTACTCCTTTTCCCAATCCAAGTCAACTTAATAAAGACAATAATAAAAATTAAAATATCAAAAAGGTAACTTAAAATATGTTACGTATATAATTTATGTATATCCTTATTAAATAAATAAAAATATATTCATCATATTATTTATTAATATTAAAATTACCATATCATTAAAAGGTAACTTAAAACATGTTACGTGTATAATCTTTGTATATCCTTATTAAATAAATAAAATATATACATCAGATTATTTATTAATACTAAAGTTACCATAATATTAAAAGGTAACTTAAAACATGATACGTATAAAACCTATGTATATCCTTATTATATAAATATATAAAATATATACATTAGATTATTTATTAATACTAAAGTTACTATGATATTAATAAATTACTTTCTTTTTATATATATGTGTATATACATATATATCTATATATATACATATACAACTATCCATGGGTAATTATTCATACCTATTAAACCTCCTATCCAAGTAGTCCATAGGACCTAATTGGTTGGCCCATTACTACTAACCGTAGGCATAAAATAAAACATTTAATCATTTAATTTACAATTAATTATAATTAATCAAACACATCACTTAAGCACACAATCTAATAAACAAATAATACAAACAACACCCAGACAAATAGCCAATTAATCAAGTAACACTTAAGTCAATTAAACACATAAGCAATTAGTCAAATAATCAATTAAAAAATTAAAAAATGCAATTAAAACAAATAAATAAATACCGAAATTATCCTTTTAAAATTAGGGGTAGTACATTAGGTGTATAATATATTATTTATTGAGTTTAGTTTTTGATTATATAAAGACCATCACAACATTCATAACTTTAAATTTTTAATGATTCTTTTTAGGACATAGAGGTCAATTTTCACTAGGTAAAGTCTTTATCAAAATTAACTTTCAAAATGGTTTTCAAATGACTCAAATTAAAGCTTTCTAACCAACATTAAGGTTTTCAAATTCATTTCCTAATAAAATAGTGTTCAATGTTAAATTCTATAAATATATTCAAAATAATTAATAATTATTTTAAAATTAACTTAAATTTAATTTAGTGTAAATTACACAGACACCTCCCGAGGTTAGGTCATATTTCAGCTAGATGAAGATTTTGTTTTTAACTTTCACTTACACCCCAAATTACTTTTTGGGCTCTGACACATGCGAAATGACTCATTTACCCCCATTTGTTTAAATATAATTTAATACAAAATATCTATAAAATAAATTGCCAAAAATACTCTTATAACAAAACCCACCAAATCAGACTCTATCTCTCTCTCTCTCTCCTTTTTTTTTTTTTTTTTTCTAGTTGGTACTCACACACACACGTCTCTACTAAGATTTGAACCCCTGATCTCCCTTTGGGAGGTAAGAGGCTGATACCGCTAGGCCACTGGCCCGTTGGTGATTCTCTTTCTCTTCTCTCTCAATCAAAGGTCATCTGCCAAATCCATTACACATAGTAATAAAACCGTCATGGATTCCGGTGATTATAGTGCCACCACCAACATCCCACCTCAAAACCGCCACCATCATCCCAATGGCAAGTGAAATAATTCATAAATAAGTTCCTAATCTAATGTATAACACCATGTATACAGAGCCGGTTCCTAATTTAATCTAATTGTAGTTGGAATCCATGGATAATGCAAAAGAGACAAATCGACAGTTTTTGGCTCCACCGTGTGCATTTTTTCTGTCTCTCATCTCTCTGTATTTCTTCTCCAAAACACTACCTTAGCTTCAACATTTTCATCACGTTTTCACTCTTTAAGATTATACTAGATTTCACTGCCCTACACACACAAACATATTGTATATTATTAGCAATTGAAAGCTATCAATTTCAGAAATTGAGAAAAAATGAAAGTGGCATTGTAGTTGTTGATGATGAATTCACATACGAAGAAGAGACCCACCTTACTGTTCCCAAGACCTCTTTCTTCTTTCCCAGCAAAGGCTTCACCGTCTACAACTCGAAAGGCGACCTCATCTTCCGAGTTGACTCGTACGACACCAAGCCCCATCTCATTCTCGTAGATCCCTCCGACCACTACCTCTTATATTCCTATGTCCATCATTGGTGCTTCATCAAAAGTCGATTCGGCCGACCCTTGTGATACCGCCGGTGGTGACCGAACTGGGTTCGCAATCTTGGCATTGAGATCGAGCATCTGGGTTATCCAAGGCCATCGTCGCCGGTGATTCGTAGCCACCGTTCCGAGCTCGACCGGCCACCACCACCTCCAATCCACAACCCAAAACGATCCGGCTGACATTCCCTGATTCGCATTTCGCAGCCACCGTGTGTATATATATATAGATAGATATATATGTTTGTGTATATGTGTGTGTGTGTGTGTATATATATATATAGATGGATATATATGTTTGTGTAATTATATATGGATGAGA